TATGTTTTACTAAATGAAAAAATCTGTGGGTTTTTTTTAAGAAATGTATGAGTATATTATTTTTTGACTTGGCAGTTGATAGGAGAGCAAATCTTTATATTTCGAGAGAATGAACCAGTGAATTTGTCCACTACCAGTACTATGCCATGTCATTAAAAAGTCTTTAATTGAAGAACAAACAGAGAACATACCTTCCGATGTTTCAAGATCACTAAAATCGCCATCTAAATCTGTATCACTTGAATCCTCTCTAAAAATACAAAATAAATAAGTTATTACTAGATATAAACATAATTGATTATGAGCTCTGACTATGTCATAAATAACAAAAGTAGTAACAAGAATACAATATAATACATACAACAATTCACCAAGTACAAACTAAACTATAAAAAAAAATACAGACTGAATAAAAATTACCCAAGAGGTGTTTTGAAAATGTTTTCCACATGGTTCAAATAAGGTTCAATATTTATAGCTTGTATTATTTGCTGATAATGTAGCGGTAAAGCTATTTCGTTATTATTCATCTCACCATTCATTATTAAAAATTATATTTAACAAATCGTTTAAAATTGTTCATTTAAATTACAGTCATGTTCGGTTAATTTATTAAAAATGAATTATATTTTAATGAAATCAAAAACTAAAAACTGAATTAAAACCGTACATCATAAAATAATTTCAAACTAAGTGTAATGTGTGAATATCGAAATTTCGGACTTACGAAGAAACTACTGCAGAATACAGGAGAAGACTAATCAGTAATCAGATTCATCAGTTATCAATATAACAATAATAAAAAATGTAAACAAAATGTTGATGAATAGAATCATGTTTAACCATGGTTAACATTATATTAACCATGATACCAAATTACTGATATTGTTAACAGGTTCAACAGTTGAATAAATCGAAATTATTTGCCATGCACTAATTATCTATTACATTGTTATTCTAATTCAAGGTACATCCACAGAATAGATTAAATCTATTTAATCTATTCTGTGGTACATCCATTTTGTTCAAATTCCTACAAATATAATCATATGGCCACTGTAAAAACTAAAAACACCACAGAATTGGCTAAAATCGACACATAAATGGTACGATAACCGATAGGAGTAGTATGTACAGACCGAATTCGTTAAAAATCTCTTATGTTAAGCCGATTTAAATTATTCAATTGGCTATACACAGTACACACAGGTATTATACTATTATCCAGGTAAATGACTAATTAGATGAGGTTGATTAGTTCAAATTATAATAAATTACCGTACTTATAGCCTACTATGAGTATTACATTTTTTTTTCAAATATTAATTAAACATCACACATTTTAAAGAACAAATAATAATTAAGTGTTAAATTTTTATTCCCTTAAAATAAATGTAGGTACCTCCCAATGTAGACGGGAACTTTCCTGTTTTACCGGACACCCTTTTATTGTTGTTTTAACGTATGTAATTAAGCATGGTAAAAACGATGGTGAAGTCGAAATTAGTTTCAAAGTTTTCACTAATTTAAATTTATAGAATTTGTAATTTGTATATACTGGTCATTCACTCCCTGAGCTTGTTTGGTCAAATAAATCAAACATTCTTTTGCCGTTATCATATCTTTATTTTTTTGAATGATATTTGACAAATGACAATAATATGCAGTTTCATATTTCGAAGCAGAACATTTTCTGGAGAACTTTTATGTTTTACATACATACAAAATTGAACTTTGAACGACTACATAATTATAATACTTAATTAATTAGTTATAAGTCACTATAATGACTTTTAAGTTTTAACTCAAAAGTATTTATATTTTTAACCTTAATTGCACGAGATTTCTTTAAAGTGATTCGATACAAGCTATGAACTTCAATAAACCATTTTAACAAACTTTTTCCATATCGATTTATAGAAAGCACCTATACTGACATTGTATTTATAAACACATTATAGAATTTTCGATAAGATATCGTTGAAGAGGACGTTATACCCGAATGTCCCGAATGTATTGTCTCCGTCTTACAAGAGCGTAACATATCAAATTTTACGTACATCATGCTTAACTCTGTTAGCTTAAAAATTAGAGTGAATTGACCTCTAATTAAATTAAATGTAAGAGTAAGATTATTACTGAATGCTTGTCGTGAGCTGTTTATTATATTTTAATTTTAAAGAGAGTTATGAGTATTTTAAGTTGTACAAACAATTTACAATTTTAATATGTTACGCTCTTGTAACACAGAGGCAACACATGCGGGCGGTATAACGTCCTCTTTATCGTTTACACGCGCCACTCTCGATTGCTTGAATAAAATCAATTCGTATTTATTTATTTATTTTCGTGTTCATTGTTCGGTTTCATCCACGTGTTCTACCAAAAGTACACGCCTCTTCGCATCGTATTAACAATATAACGCTCAAGGATAATTTCAGCAATGATTTAAATGAGGCACTAATAGCGAGTATCAAAGGATTTCCTTTGAAAAATCAAGTACCTAATTCCAAATTCTGTAATTTTCTGAAAAATTATTACACGAATCTAAACACAAATGCAGACGAATTCATTTCACGGAAAAATTACATTGTAGATGTTCCACAGATGTCTTGGAAAAAATAAGAAATGAAATTGGAAAAAAACCTTGATTGGAAATTTGGCAGATGAGACCAGTAGACCATAGATTCGCGTGAGCATTACATCGCTAATTTATTTATTGGAAAATTATCACTAGAACATTCTTCCGCATGTTCCATTGTTTCTGTTAAATGCATATTTTAACATAATTTATGCATATTTCAATCTCTTATGCTGGATATTTGCATGCATTTAATACTTTAATAAAGTTTTTTCACTGCATATAATCCACATAAATTATGCATAAATTATAAGTACCTACTTATGCTCAGAAGTTGTATAGGTAAGAATTGCATATTTCTATAGATCTATTTATGCTTTCTGGACTTGATTTATAGACTATAATAAACCAAATTAAGAATCCGCGTAGAAATGTTGATTTTGAAAACGAAAATTTAAAACACATATTTGTATATTTTTGTCAATTTTAGAAAACAAATAATTGTTGGTTTTCATGCATATTATATTTCATTAATTTATAATGATTGGAACCAACACTTCAAGGCCACAAAAATATTATGTAGACGGTGGACACGTGGCTAATAATTTACAGGCCTATACTCTGGTTAGAGAGACAACATGCCACGCGCCGACCAAATCTGGTTTGCCGTTCCCCCCACACAACACCCTGCCATGAGGTTTCGATGGCAGGTGACGCAGAGGGGAATGCTCAGAATCGGCTTGTTCTCTCGCTGAACAGAGCATCCTGCTCCTGCAGTTTGCAAGTGAACTATAGACGCTGATAGAGTTAAATACTGGAGTGGTATCTACCTTATTTAAAAGTAATGATACTTATGTTTTAAAAAATAACTTTTACTTTTATTATCTAATATCCATAATGCCTTTTGACTTTTATACTTATTCATCTAACGTGGGTATTTTCCTTTTCTTTATTTTTTTGCCGATAAGCGAAAAGTCAACTTTTCCACCATACATATATGCTTAACAATAAACAATTTTTCAACTGTATTAAAACAAGACGTTTTGATAACTGTTATGGCCTAATACCTATACGCCATTGGCGTAAAAAAAGTCCACGGAAAAAAAGCACAATAAATAAACATAACAAGGAAAAAGATCCCACTGAAAAAAATTAATGTTTTAAATGTGAACACATGTATAATACTCTACTCCTAATTAGTAATTACAATGTGGCGTGTACCTATAGCAACATATAATATTTATTATAGTGAAAATAATGTCATAAATATTATTGTCATGTGTTATGTGTAAGTTTTGGACAAATGTAGTATATGTATGTTATACTTATACAGTTATACCTTATACCCCTGATGTTTAAGTTATAACTTATAACACTGTATATTATGTATGGTCGTATAGATGAGTTCATTTTTATATTAAAATTTTTTTATACATGATTAATAGTTAATCATAAACCTTATTCAGACATAAAGTTTTTTATTTTTGAAATTTTTCATTGAATAAATAGGTAAAAAAAATGTCTTATTAATTGAGTCTCCGCATATAAAATTGGCATTACCTATAAGGGCTATAATAATGTATGAATTATTAATTACTAATTAATTGTAGAGTATAGGTACATGTGTTTGTATTTATATTTAATTTTTTTTCATTGACTTTTTTCCTTAGTGTTTACTTTTTTGTGCTTTTTTTCCGTTTGTTTTTTTTTCCGCCTGCCGTATTGATGACTATTGGCCATCACACAGATGGCAGAATATCTAGGGTTGACGGTATTGCGGTATTAGATTTGGTACCGGTATGAAAAGTTATACCAGTATCACGGACTAAGATATACTAAGTATATCTTAGTCCGTGACCAGTATATACCTCAAAACCGACACATATACAGGAAAACTATAATATAATTTAAAATCATAATTAGTGTGAAGTCTCCTTATCACTACTTTAAGCGATATTCATTTATTTTATTATCAATATTCTTTTCATCAAAAACTGGTGTAACAAAAAAATTGTCACCCCACGGTATTACGGTATGTACCGATTTACGGTGTACCGTTTCAGCGGTATTTGAGCAAAAACTGGTAGGTAGGTATATCGATGTAGACGATATACCGAAAAAACCGTCAACCCTAGACAGAATATTTATAACTATAGATCTGTGGGCTATCTCCACATTTATTATCTATGGATAATAATTATTTTATTGACATTGAGATAAGGATTTTACTCTAAAGTGATAAAGTTTATACTAAGTATAAGGTCTATCATGGGTAATATGATATTATTTTAATATCTGCTTATTTATTATTTATTATCTATATTTCTATATCCGTGCACCACGGACTAGTGGTTGGCCTTGGCAATACGCCAATACTCCACACTTGACACTAATAGGTCACTAGGCAACGTATCATGGGGTAGGAGAAGAATGCGCAGTCCACATAATATTAATAAATAATAAATAATAATATTATGGTTAATACTATGGCTATTAAGGATTGATGAGAAATAAGAATTGGCGCATGCGTAAGCTCATATCCTATAACCTGTTCTACCAAGTGTTCAGTGCTGGGATCTTTTATCTATGGCTGGGATCTAATATTAAGCGCGCGCCGAGTGCTGACACATGTTGCGGGTTATCACTTATCAGTATTCTATAATATTATTTCTCATTCTCTCAAAGGCTGATTGTTACAAATTTAAAAATTTAAAACTTCATGCCAACCGACTTACTTTAGTCAACTATATAGGCACAGTGATTCAGTCTACACTCTGCAATCAAAGGAACAAAGCTAACCCTAAACAAAAGTATGATCATTGTAATTAATTTTAATATTATTTAATATATTAAACTGTAGATCATTTTCGAAGTAATTTGTTAGTTTAAAGATTAATATATTAATACTAATAATAGACAATTAAAAAAATTAAAACATTCAAATTGATTAACAATGTATAAAAAAGAATTCATATTATAATACTTTAATCGAATGTTATAGAGTAGTAGGCATTTTATTACATTGTTATTCTATTTATGTTTAAACATTAATTCTAATACATAATTTATTAATTTTTGTAAAGGTTAAACATTTTTTAAATAGATATTTGATTTTCGTGTTTTAGATGACAAATTATCCTGTACAAAACATGGTCTGGAGCTGTTTAAACACTAAAGAAGATTTACTTAAAATATTTACTGGACAAGTTGATCGAGATGTTATTGAAATGGTGATAGAAAGCAGAAATAATGATTGTAAGTTTTAAATTATGCTTTTATGGTAGTTATTGTAATTTGTTTAGATCGTCTTTATGTACTTGTGTTGTGTACTAATGTGCCTTTCAGTGTCATCATATATTATAAATCAATATTTATTTACCTATTAAAGACTTTATCTTTACTTAGTTTTAAATTTAAATTATACCTGTTCATAATATGGAATAAATATCTAAAAATAGAGGAATTAGACTCTACTTTACCAAACAGCTGAAAAATCCTAGTGTATTTTTCTGTATCCATTATTTTATTTTCATAATGTCTTCGGTTACAACTGTAGAAAAGTTTTTGGTGTCCAAAATATAAAGCCTTCAAATATAAACATAGCCTATAAGGTTCCTCACAGAATACGAATACTATGGTATTTCTTTAATCAAATCAAAATTTTTGATTAGTAAAATACTATCAATTACATAATATGTATTAAAAATTAAAATAATCTTCACTTTCGTTTATTAAGTATACTTATTACTTTTTAATTCAGTAATTTAAAATGGTAGGCCAATCTAGTTGATCTTGACATTGAAATTAATCAGTTTTTATTTAATTACAGGGTCCGGCAAAAATACCTCCCATATTTTAAAAGGCAATTACAAATAAATAAACAATTTAACAGAACAATTTAATTAAATTTTTTAAATTAAATAGTATGCCATTTTACATTATCCTATCAGACAATTCCAAGAGCAGCTGCATGTGTAAGTGCTGAACGCCTTGGAGATTGCTGGATAGACGCACTAACACGTGCCACATTATCCGGCGTTGTTGCGGTTAAAGGTCGGCCACACGATTTCCTCCTTAGCGCAGAACCCTTTGCTTTAAAGTTTGATAACCAAACTTTAATTTTTTTTTCTATCTGGAACAGGATCATGTCAGCCAGTTGAAATCGAATGCGAAGTGCTCGCTGAGTAGTAATCGCAGAACCACCATTACAGATATATTCCTCTACGACAAACACGCGAATGCCACACCATTATGATTACTGAAAATGGCACCTTTATCTATCTATACCCGGAATACCATTTTATTTATAAATAGCTTTAAATATAAATGTCTAAAAATACTGGAGGTTTTTTTGCCGGACCCTGTATTATTTGAAATTCATTGCCATCAATATGTCATAATTCTGTTTTATAATGACTTAGCCAAGACTACTTTATAACAGATATTGTTCTCAATAATAATAATAATATATAAGATACCATATTAAAATAAAATAGTCTTAAGATTTATAATTTTATTTTCTGAATTTTTTAATAGTGTTATTGGCATATCGTGATCTTACTGAAATAACAAAGGTTCCTGATCCTGAACAAAATCTGCATTTACGATCTACTGAAGAAAAAAATCAGTCAGTCTCAGCTTCTACTTACAATATTCCCAAAGTTAATTGGAAACGTTTATCTACAACTGAAACACCTATTAATAAAATACTCTATTTAGTATCAAAACGCTTCAAAGTTTTAGTATTAATGAGAGGATGTCCAGGTAGTGGAAAATCATATCAGGCAACAAATATTTTGGATTTGTGCTATAAAAATGTTAACGCCGATGACTTTATTTTTAGCGCAGACAAGTTTTTTACGAACAAATATAATGGAAAATATTGTTTTAATCGTAACAAATTAACTGAAGCACACAATTGGGCATTTCAACAATTCCAAAGGGCTATTGGATTAGAAGTTACTCCAGTTATTGTTGACAATACAAATTGTGAAGCTTGGGAAATGGAAAATTATATTAAAGTGGCTGTAAATAATGGATATTGGATTGAAATTGTTGAACCTAGTACAGAATGGGCATGGGATGGAATGGAGTTGTTCAAGAAAAATGTACATTCAGTACCTTATGATTTTATAATATCTTACCTTCGTCGATATGAACGTAATATCACTATTGATAGTTTATTAACTAGATTTAAATTTAAATACAATAAGAATACCAAGCCACCTATACAATCAAACAGTTCTAAAACCTACCAGCTTTGTGAAAATCTTATAGATCAAAGAGATGAAGACTATGAATCCCAAATTGAGATTATTGATGATTTTAAAGATCTGAGTCTGTCACAGAAACAAAAAAAAAAAAAAAAAAGCAAAAAAAAAATATCTGCTCCTGCCGACAATAATGCTGAAGATAACTCTTTGATTCCTACAATTGGTAAAACACTAACAGAAAGAGAAGAAGATGATATTCTTGAGAGCAATGAATATGAAAACCTATCCCAAGACATTCCTGATATAGATGAAGAATCTCAGTTATCTGTGGAAGAAGCTTCAAATTATGTCAATAAATCTGTCAACACTTCTGAAAATGATTTTTTATTTATGGATGTCCTGAATGAAATACCTGAAGAAGAGTACAGTAGCTATGTTGTTTTTGGAAGAAACAGAGATATTAATGAAGGGAATCTGAGTATTTTGAATATGCCTTGTGGAAAATTAGATAAAGGAACAACTACTAACGACCTTAAGAAAATGATACCTAAACTAAATTTAAATAAACTCGGAGAACAATACCCAGAAAATATTTCTTCATTAATTATTGAATTATTTGACAAATGTGAAGGAAATATTGACTGGATTGTAGATATGTTGGAAGAGTCTGGACATTATATATCGAAACAACAATTGTGCAATTTTATTGAGTTTGAAGAAAATTATTTTATTAAAAATGTTCAATGTCAAGACTCCATTCAACTTTTAAAAGAAAATCACGAACAAGATAATATTTTGTTTGATTCTCCATTAAATCCACAGTCAAAATTAGTAAATAAAATCACTGAAGAAACTGATGGTAAAAAGAAAAAACTTGGGAAAAAAGTCATTGATAAAAAAATACAGAGAACATTTAAAGTTGTTGATGATGATTTAAGAAAAAATATTGAAAATAAATTTACATTTGGAGATTCATTATACTCTGATCATGTTTTGAAGATAAAAAAATTTAAAGAAAATCAAAATGCACCAGATAGTACTGATTTTATTTTTCCAAGATCTGAGAGCATCGAAGAAGATCTTATGCTTGAAAAAGATGATGATGGAAACTTTGTTCAGTTAGTTATGGATAGAAGTGTACTTGCTCAATTATGTGATTATTTTGGCGATTTCTCTCCTAATTTTAGTAAGTACTGTGTATTTTTTTATTTTCTAAAAAAAATTATATTTTAATCAAATAATTTTGGTTCTAGATCAAAATACATTACTAATGCCAGTGAAATTACCTGAAAAGTTGGCTGAAGAACTTTATTATTATTTGATTGCAAATACGCCTTTAGATGTTTGTAATCAAGATGCCATTTTACAAGGTAGTTATTGTTTATTTTAAATATTTTTACCTAGTTAATTATATTAAAATGTATTGGCAATGTTATAGGCTTTTTATTATATTTTTATTTTAAAGTGAGTTATGATTATTTTTAAATTGCAAATTGTTAGCCCATCTTAAAATACTCATAACTCACTTTAAAATTAAAACATAATAAAAAGCCTATGACATTGCCTAGAAAACAATAATCTTACTATCAGTTTTATTAGAGGTCAGTTCACTTGGATTTATTTTTAAATTGTAATTAATAACGTATCTATTAACAACTAATAACAATGCTAGTAGTTCTTAATACTATATAAATTATATTATATTAAAATATATTTATTCTATACATTTTTTTAAAATTATATATTCATTACTTTTGAATGTTTTCATGACAATAAAATTCCCAGACACTACAAAAACCATGAACCTCCTCCCCCAATCTACTATAATACACTATTAGAAACCTGAAACATTAAAAAAGATACATCTATTAGTATTTTGTTTGGTTCTTTCTCTAATTTTTAACAAACAAACTAATATCTACTCATACACATATAGTTTGTAAAATAACGAAATATATGTATATGTATAAATACTCCCTACTTAAAAAAAAATTTTCTGGAAAATTAAAAGAATGATTTTTTTAAAATTCACAATTATTGGGGATAGAACATCTTCAAGTATCTCCTGACCTCCCGTATCTTGTTTTTTTCCAAAATCGTGTTGTCTGTAAAATGTTCATCTATTTTAATTGTAAGTAAAAATTAAATCAATGCCATTGGTAGAATCTTGGTGGAGTTCAAAAGGTGAATATTCTCAACTGTCACAAAAGACTGTATTGACACTTATATGTGTGAAATAGGGTTCTCCACCTATGTATCAACGAAAACAAAATACCTCAACAGACGTGATGCCAAACCTAATATGATAATATAACTTTCATCAATAAAACCCGGTATTAAGAATATTTATACTAATAAAAAGCAATTTCACTCATCTTGTTAAAAAGTTTTTGTTATTTTTATACTATTATTACTTTTACTTAAAAATATATTTTGAAATAAATATTGCATACACATAATTATTGTATGAAATTATTATAATTTTTATTGCAAATAATCCTTACATAAAATGACTTACTAAAACTATTGAAACATAGTAGGGATTCTAATTGTCTAGCTGTAATAAATTATTGTTGAAAGCTAAACCAAAAAGATAAAAAACTAAAAAAAAAGTAGTGGTTCCATAATAAAAGTGAACATTAAAAAGTGTTCCACGGATAAAAAAGTTTAAGAAATGCTGGTATAATGAATAGTGTATGGAAAAATGGTATATAAATTGATGTATTAATAAATAATAATAGTGCCTATTGCTCTTTTTACTAAATCTTGCTTATCTTTTATTTTTATTTTGGTAATTATTAAAATATTTTTACTGTCTACATACAATACACATTTGATTATTCTTCTTATGCCATATTTTTATCTAAAGATTTCATTAATGGCACATTTACTATGTAAACACAAAAGTATAGTTGAGTAAAATAATTAGAGTTAGTAATCAGAAGATCATATTAGTAATATTATTAAATAAAAAAAAATTTTAAAAGTTTCATAAATTCTGTTCCCTTTTAGACATTATAGATTTTTATTAAACTATTTATAGTTGTCATACAAATATACAATACTGAATACAATGATATTAACAATCAATTTTTTTATTACTTAATATTTTATTAAGTATGCATTATTAAATTTTTAAATTGTGATATTGTTAGATGAAACTTTGGCTCGAAAACTACAAGAAGAATCTACAGAAGAATGTTCTTCAACTAACTCAAATAACTATATTGTAAGATATAATTAAAAAATAAAGCAATAATTTTGTTGGTCAAAATGTTGTCACAATTAATGAGGAATTTAAATTTGTATTTACAGGGAGAATTCACATTTTCTGCAGTCTTAACAAAAAAATTGCTGTTGGAGAAATTTAAACATATGAATTCTACACATGTTCTAAATGTTTTGCGTGCTAAAAATTATAAATTTCATGTAAATAAGTGAACTTTTTAATACATATATTATGAATTTAAATCATAGAAAAAAAATATTTTTTCTAGGAAGCAAATGAATTTCTAAGTGAGGCATCTGGAACTAAAAGTTCGTTAAACCAAGACAGTCCCACTGTTCAAGTAATAAGTATTCATTACCCAATAGTTTAAATACATAACTTGTCTTTTTGTGATTATAATATGGTCACACATATTAAAATAAAACATTTTATGTTTTTTTCTATATTTTACAATATTATAGGAAAATAAATATTATTATAGGAAAATGAAAGAAGTTGTGTTGATTGGGTAGGACATAATGCATCCAATAATAGTCAAGATTATAGTAGAGTAGCTCAAGAACTTTCAATCAAGAGACAACAGCTTTTACAAAAAGCTAACCAATCATTAAGTGCAAAACAACATCCTTCAGTCACTGCTCATTATTTAGAGAGAGTAATTATACATTTATACACCTTAAAATACATTTTTGAAAATTTAAAAATTGCATGATTTAATTATGTTTATTGTATAGGCCGACATAGTTAAACAGAACGAACAACTTGCTAAAACCAAAGCTCTTGTCGATATGGTTAAACAAAATGAAAATGCCACTTCCTTAGATTTGCACAATTTAACAGTAATAATAGTATAATGTACTTTTTCTAAATAAAATGTATTAAATGTCATATTTTGTTAGGTTTCAGATGCTATTGTAGCACTAGATATATATTTGGATAATCATATATCAAATTTGAAAAAACCTAATGGAGGAAATAGAGGTAGACAACTAACCATTATTACAGGCCGTGGAAAACATAGTCCTAAGGGTATAGCTCGTATTAAACCAGTTGTCGTAAGAAGACTTCTAGATAGACGTTTAATGTAAGATATTATTTTAAATATTATAAAATTGCAGAATTCAAGAAAAGTTGGTCAAAATTATATTTCAGGTACTTGGAACCTGAAATACCAGGGACAGTAATGGTTATTATCAAAAAGAATTCTTTGCTCAGTTCAGAATGTTAAAAGTTATTAATAAGTATGTTTATTAATGTTAAATTAGATACTGCTGATATGTATTTAAATAATTATAATTGGATTTTTTTTCATTGACCTATTTTAACTTTAACCGTTGATTACTTTAGTTAAGTTAATAGTTTTATTTAATTTCCTAATAGTTGAAAATTATGCTCACAACATGAACGTTATCTGTTGATTGTTTTTTTTATTTTTATAAGTATTTTTACGTTTCAAATTATATTTATCGATATATCTTATTTAACATTTATTTTCTTAAAATAATAAATATAATAATGATTTTATTTTTAGTTGAACAATTTAATTATTTTTCACATCATTATACTCAAGAGGACGTCGCTCACATATGTATTCCTCCGTCTTACAAGAACGTAACGTAGTAAATGTACGTTTAGCATCGTCATTTTTAATATTACAGTGCATTTATCTATAATTAAACTTAACAATAGTATCTAAAAGGAATAACATTTTCTGTGATTTGTTGAAAATGTTTTTTTTTTTTGTAATCATTTGTATAGGAATTATGATCATTTTTAAACTCAATATTTTATAGGGAGCATATAAAATGTTGAAAACTAATTTCACTGAAAACAAAACTATCAAAAATAATTTAACCAAAAAATATTTTATTGAAAATAATTTAATAGAAATATAATTGTAATTGAAAATAATTTCCTAGTAATTAATAGCAAGGAAAAATAAAAATTTGATATCTAATTTTTATGAAAAATAATTAGTTGGAAAACCACACAATTTCTGAAAATGTATCTACTCAAAAACATTTCCTAGGAAAGGAATTTAGCAAATGTAAACAGACATTAAATTCTGACCCCCATATTTTGGACTCATGCTTCAAGTAATGGAAGCTAAGACTTAGTACCCCAGTAAAACAAAGACGTCCACGTTCCATTTCAGTAATGAGCAAGCCAACTCAACTGTATGCTTTTAATGAACATATTGTGGACTATAACCAACCCCAAGTATTTCGGATAAATTACACTGGATCGGTCACTCATATGTAAAACTCACCTAGCAAACGTCTTGTCAAAAATCAGCACCCGCAATAATATAATTTAGAAACTAGTAGGCTCGACCTGGGAAATAAATAGTGCACGTGTGAAGTGGTTCGTTTCACAACTTAATCATAATATGCTCATGTTCTCGAGAAATGAGAACTGTGTAAATCGACTCCTGTCCATTGTCTCCAGGTACTTAGCGATAACGCTGCTCCTGCTCTATACGCCGATATTTTTTTAATTATTTGGGCTATAGTGAACATTTAAAGAAATATGAGCCAAATTGACCAGCTGTTCTCAACCTATGCGATTATCAACGAGCAGCATTTTCACTTTGCAAAAAAAAAAAAATCGCAGCAAGCTTGGAGATTGCTATTGACCGTGACAGGTGGAGAGGCTTATTAGAAGCTGCAAAAGGCTTTAAAGGCCATTAAAAATAAAAAATTAATAATAACAACACAGGGTTAGGGTTCTATTTAATTTGTTATTCGTGAACAAAGAGAGAGAGAGAAAAACAGTGCTAAAAAGTAAAAAGTCGGATGTCCTCTGAGTTGAAAAAGCTGTAGATTGTTGACAGTTGGCATTAACTGAGATTAAAATATTAAATACAAAAGTATGATAGGAAGTAAATGTAATAAGTATTAACTGTAAAGATAATAAAAGATTTATGACAATATAACACAAACCATTTAAAAACATCTAAAAATTGATATGAATTGTAAAATTAATAGAGTACAGTATTTGAAGTATTAAACAAAAATATGACATTTTTAAAAATAAATGACACTTAAAAAAAAGGTATATATTTATATAACAAAAACCCACAAATATTAAATTTGAGAAAAATGACCCACATTGTCGTATAAGTGCCAAATTTTTCTCTGGCATGGTGAAAACACTATTCAGAAACTGATGCCTCACTTATCAATAAGAAATAATAACATATTTATTTATAATCGAATTGGTACACAAAATAATATGTATTATATAATTAATACAGAATAATAAAAATACAGTTGGGGCAGGGTGTGGCACGGTGCTTGGCTGCAGTCCCTCCCTTACTGTGTCAAACATCGTCCGGCGTCGCTAGCTCCCGGATTGGCGACCACCTGTTTAGCGGTGAATCCTTGCCTCACATATAAACGTGTTATTCGAACCATACCACAGCCTCCTACAAAATGTTTGTGGCTATATCGTTGCCGATGCTTTAGACAAAAAAAAAATTAATTTAATTCTACATTATTAAGGATATTATATTAAAGTTCATGGAAATAATTGACTACATACGTATATAAGTTGAGAAAACATAAATTATAGAACTGTTAATAATTATAACTATTTAGCGGTGACGGTTGTTGGTAAATTTTTTTTTTAAATTTTCCTTCCTAAACATGTTTCAAGAAATCCATCTTCCTAGGATTATTACAAAACATATGAAGCTTACAAAATTAATTTAAAATTCTACTTTAAAGAAGACGTTTCACCTGCATATGTTGTATCTAAGACAGTCGTGTTTAAGTGTGATATGTATCAAATTTTAGTTCACCAGTTATAATTAAGTTTCAATAGTTTCAAACAATAATAATCACTCTAATATTAGAATTGTCAGTGTCAAATATAAGATCTGCTGAAATGTATACGCGCTTGTAGGATAACATGCTGATAAATTATTATTTATTAATACTAGTTACTTTTAAAATGTACATAAAATCATACTTTTAGTTTACATTACAGCTATGAATCATGAATGGACCAATGTCTGGTAACTTGAAGCACACATTAGCGGCTACAAGTCTTTATCGTCTCACGTGCACCTTTTACACATTATGCTTTTACTTTGTTCTTCGAGAGAATGTGGTTATTTTACGCATTTGATTGGATTTAAGAAGTATGGATTTGGATGTTTGCGGCAGAGTACACCTACAGGCTACAACCCGTCTGGATTTTGCACTATCACTTTCTGTCGCGGATGGAGTCTACTCGCAATGAGCTAAAATGTAGTTATGGACAATATTGAACACTTCCGTAATTTACTCATATTTTACCCATACTGCAATTGTACAACATAATTAATTATTGTTATTATATTCTCTGATAATAATTAATATCGTAGCAGTCGTGGTTCACCGTACAATGTAATATCGTTGTAGTTGATATTCGTAACAAATGACATTCGAGATAGTTATAGGCCCGCACTAGCAGGTCTTATGTGGCGGTTGCAAAAACATTTAAGGGTGCCTTAATATTTTTAATATTTAATCCTATGAGTGAAGGTCCATTAGATTATAATAGCTAAAAAGGTGGCCAAGTGCCCGTTCTGCGGGTGTCGTATGGGCCACTGGTCACTTTAATGGAATGTGTCAAATTGGAAATCAATGATATGTCCTATGAAATTCCAATAATTTGAAAATATGATCATTAAGTGTATTTTAAAATTCCGAAAATCCGATTTTGAATAAAAAAGAAAGGTTGGCATGCTTGGTGAATGGTGAACCCTGTATTTAAATGGATGTTGGTTTGTCTGTGTGTAATTAATAGACTCAAAACTACTGGATTGTTTAAAATTTCAATAAAAGTTGTATAAATAGATCCTTGCGATTTGGTAGGTATTTGCCAACATTCTCGTAATTTAAACATGTTTGCACACATTTTATGTATTGTTTTTTTAGTTATTGTTTTATATATTTTTGTATGTTTGTAAAAATAATTATAAATATAATTTTACAACTTGACAGATTTGAATACGTTTTATATTTTGAATTTTGAATTCATTTTTCGGGACTTACATTTCATTGAAAACATTTTAAGATTTCAAATGCATTTTTTAGGGTTTTTACTGCAATAAATTAACAGCCATAATCATAATAATCAAATTATTATTATTTTATTTATAGTTTTATACCTAAAGTTAGGTACAGTGAAATTTCCATATTATGTCTTAGCGATGTCTTCTGGACAAAAACCTATTATATAGAATTTCATTGAGCAGAAAATATTATTGTTTGGAACTTTGAACTTATAAGGTTATCATTGTTTCACTGTAATTTTGCATTTATGCTAAAAGTGTAATTATAATGGACACTTGTTTTTCTGCATATTTTTTTTTGAAATAGTTTCACTATAAAAGGCTAGTTACCTAACGTCCTAACCACATCTTTTTCTATGTGTATAATTAATAAGTCCGAAAGATAGTCTTGACCGATGATATTGATACGTACGTGTCCCGGAGGGAAAGTAATGCTAACAGCAGTTCTCCCTCCGGTTCTCAATACCACGAAAAAAAAGAAGGTTAGGTTAGGTTAGGTCCAAGATGTTTAAATTTCAATTATTGTTTAAGTTAATCACAAGTTTCGAGGGTTGTTAAACATTCTTGAACCTCTATAAATTCACTATACCTAATCGTTTTTGGTAGCCCACACAGGAATATTTTTCAGATTTATTTTTTTTTTGTTAGGCTAGGTGTTTAAGCTAATTATGGACATACCTAGATAAATTTGTACCGTTGTTTTCTCGTATCAGCTGTTTAAATTAATTTTGGTACTTTTGCTAGTCGACTGTCAAGTAAAAATGAATAGAGTTATGTGGTACCGATGACGTAGAGATGACAGTATGGTAGGTACAAAATATTTTATAAAAATTGTCCATCTCTTTGTCTCCGCCAATCAGTAAAATAACTATGTCAACGCCACTGTAAGTTCGCAATTAGATATAATAATATATAGACATGATTTGTATGGTTTATTTTTATTACAGTCATTTATTTAATGAGTGATAAGCTATAGTATCATACTAGATTTACATTTATGTTATTATTAAATGCTACGAATTACGATGGGTAATTTGATATCAATGTTTCATTATCCGTACAATAATAATAATATATTCCTAAATGCCCAGTTAATACTATTAATAGTTATTATGGCATAACACCCAGACCTTAAAGAAATATTTTTATCTTCTATACTATATAATAGTTACATGAAATGTTAATTAGTTTTTGTGAATTTTCTTTCTTGGAATCTGTCAGTAAAATCATTATAATTATAATTTAATTATATTATTATATTATCGTCGATAGCTCTAATTATTTAACAATTATAGGCATTACATCATACCACGATCAACATTTATGGCTAACCTGAAGAATAAATCTCGCAACTCTAAACAGTCCGCCCAATAGTTATTGATGTAATAATGGCTACCGTTGTGCTTACGAGTGTAAGAATCGTCTTCAAAAAATATTATAAATAAATAATTATTTCTCTATTTTCAATAAAATATAGCATTATTCTTACTTACACGTAACGCACCCACTCACAGAGGAGCTAAAGCTTGATGGTCAAAATGAAAACGTCGACTGCGTTTGATGTGAGATATTTTTGATGGGACGAAGAGAGAACTTACATCGTATAATACAGTCAAATCTCGATAACTCGATTTTCTCTAGAAAAAAAAATAAATTCTACTTCTGATTTTTTAGTCATATATCTCAAATACAACTTAAAAACCCTTCAAGAGGTCAGAAAAAAAATTGAGCTATCGAGACTCGACTGTAATATAACACAGACGTATGGGTAGGTAATTACTTATAATAGTAAAATTCGATAAATAATTATAGATGTGTTCGTTGTTCTGCGCATTAATCGTATGCACTTTAGTGTCAACTGCCAGAACCGATAATACGAGTTCTGTTGCTCCAGTTCTTCCACTATTCAATTCGTCAGAGATTGAAGTTATAACTCCTGAGTCCGAGGATTGGGAATCGTGAGTAGAAACCCATTACCCACGCGTATATGGTATATTGATATATGTACCTAACTGCGCATCCGAGATTCCGAGTTTGGTCCACAGATATATAAAGCAATTTATATATCCGTGGTTTGTTCACAAGGTTAACCTAACCTAACTAGGGGTTGGTACTACACTAGTTAGGTCTAGGATTTGTTCAGGTTGTACACTAGACACTAGTTGAATCCATAATATTTTTCGGTGATTACTATCCACTATTGACTATACCAACATTTCCCTTCCCATTTTAACAAACTTAGAGTATACTCAATCTTTTTAAAGTTGTTGAACAATTTTTTTTACAGTTTCTTTCTAGATTCTGAACGAAGCCATTAATGTATTTATTTATTTATTTATATCAACGGATCAGACGGTCCAATTATAATAATTTAAAATAACATAGTTCATAACTGAATATTAGAATACAATAATAATACAGTAATAATACAATAATAATAAATAATAAGCAGTACTACAGCAGTACTATATTTAAATACTACAAATTTTGTTTATATAATTATTAAATAATTCAATGGAATTAAAACTAAATAAATCAATGTTTAAATCATTTGCTATTGACATTATCCTATTCATAGAAGAAGCAGACATATAATTTGTTTTATGTGTATAAATATAAAACATAGTGGTTGATCTAGTTCTGCACTGTGGGACATAAAAATTAAGAAAACCTAAAATTTCAGGGCAGTTGATGTAACCTATGACGAGCTTAAATAAGAACTTCATATCTAATATTTTTCTTCGTTCAGATAAACTACCAATATCAACATAACGTAATAGTGGTTCATAAGGAGGACGAGGCATACGAGTTAAATTACAATTGATGGCCATAAATTGTAGGAAACGGTTTTGAATATTATCTAAACATTTATATTACAGTATTGATATAACAATGTTGTGTGTTTTTATTTATTTTTCGGTGGGAAAGTGAATTTAGTTGGTGCATTCGGTAGGTCGAAATTTCAAATTATCGGTCGTTTTCAAAACGCTGGGGAAAAAATAAAATTAAAGAAAAAGGAGGATTTTTATCAAAATTGCAGGTGTTCCACAAAATCGATTTTGGTTTTTAGTGGAACTGTTAAAAACATTACCGTGGATGCATGACATTTTCTATGCACCAAAAAATATTTTGACTTGTTTTGAACTGTTTATTCGGACATTTTCAGTTTATAATTTTTTAGTTTTTTTTCTATTAATATCAATACAATTTTATGCATTGAGTCGAAAAGCTTGAAAATGTAATAAAAGGCTTCTAATATATTGTTACAATGGCAGTTGAAAAATATTAAAAATACATTACTTTGTAGGTAGTTAAAAACTTATGAAATGTTCAACTATTATATAGCTAATATAAGGGTTGAAAATTTAAAACAATGTTTCACGTAAGTATAAACACAGTTTTTTTATGTTCAAATTTGGACAAAATTACATATGAATAATTAAGAATAATGATTTAAGTTATTTTGTTGTAATGTAAAAAGATTATTCATTTGTACTTTCAACGGCTATTGAACGCTTATTACGTGTGTACAATAATTTTATATCATTCATTTTCATACATGAACTCGGGACCCAACTATGTAGTATAGTATAGCAATTTTAAATTCGAGACACAACTCGGATGCGGCCATATTTGAATACACTCAATATGTTTGCATTAGCACAACTACATGGCGAAAGCTTGGCGGGTGCTGGACCTCTAGCTACATTTTTAAAAAAGGTTAACTTAACCTGTATTTGCAAAAAAAAAAACCCGGTGTGTACTAGCTAGTTGCGGTCATAATCAAAAATTACATACTAGTTGCGGTCATTCAAATAATAATAACTAAGTATACTAAATAATATAATAAAATATAGTTTATATAATATATGATAATTAAATATGAAATTAATATTTCGTTTATTTATTGAGTTTAGAAAAATGTATTAATCAACATTTTCCTTCCCATTTATATCGAAAAGATAACAGACTTAGGACTGTCTACACTATTATTTTTGTGTAGGTATGGTTAAAAATGTTGATACCTACTTGTGTTTAAATTACGTGGTTAAACTTGTGTCAAAATATAGTATATAATAGTAAACGTTGTCAAAATATAATGAATAATAGTATAATAATAATAATAATAATAATTTTAAATTTTAAAATTTTGTAGGTATACATTTAAAGGAAATTGTATTTATAAACTTTACAGATAAGTAGTGGTGTTCCCACATATATACGCTGTGTGCATTATATACAACTATGATAAGCTATGACCGCAACTAAGATATTACCTAAATTGGTGTGACCGCAACTGTTATATCTGTTTATTATTTCAAAAATCATCATGACCGCAACTAGTATGCAGCCAAAAAGCCAATCGCTTCGCTCGTAACACTTTTTAAATCGTATCTCATAATAACTGGGATTTCGATGCACTTTGCATTGTATTTTAAAGCTTGTTTTGTAATATGCAAGTTTCATGTTCACGTATCATTAAATAAAAATTATAAGTTTTTTTTTTCATTTGTTGACAATTTTCAATTTTAAGGGAATTCCACACTACCATTTTTACAGAAAAAAATCTATCTATAAACACTTTCCAAAGTACAGATTTCAATTTTACTACAGTAATAATTTTGAAAACATATTTGAATTAATTATTATGAATAATAAAAAAAATAGAATACAGTACATACTTAGGTTCAGATTCAAATTTTTAGATTTATTAATTAGTTAATAGTTACTATTTAAAAATGAACAGTTGTATAATTACATGATTGCCTAATTATCATTTTGAAATAAAACATACCTAGGTAAAGATAACTTATAGGTAGGTAAGTATACTTGCAACTTACTACTTGTCCGACAACAATGAACGTGCATGGATCATTTGGAGAAATGAAAAAAAAATTAATCATTTTTTGAAGGTTACGTTGATCAATTATAAATGATTAAAACTTCATCGTTTTGTGCCCTCTGCTATAAAGTAAATAATTAAATCATTCATCAAAATATTTTCACTTTGTAAACAGTTGCAGTTACATTTGCAACTAGGATCAATGTTTTTAGAGTAGAGGTGTGTCTGGATTAAGTTACATAATTTAACATTTTAGCTATGTAGATATGTAGTTACTGCAGTGAGAATATAACATTATAATATGCGATATTGTTTTTGCATTATAGGACACACGTCCCAGCAACAACTACCATTACGAACGAGAAATACGGTTCAAAAACGACTCTGGGCACGGAGTCTGTTACGGGCCCGAACATCTTACAATATAGCAACAAATCTGTGGCGAATGATGTCATCGACAAATCTACAAAAATGGAAAACGATTACCATCCGACAGACAAGGAAACTTATAGTTCCACTGAGCCGATACCGACGACCAACGTTACTCAGTCACTTGAGCAACCACCTACGAGGTATATCATCGATCTATAATAATACAATTATTACTTATTAGATATCAAATAAAAATTCTAAAATTTTTATAAATTATTGCAAACTGTGACTTTCTGCAAGACTGGACAAGTTAACTAATAATTTTAACTCTTTAAGTTAATTAAATATGGAATAGTTTAAGTTTAAATTTAAAGTTGTGAAAGTTACTTTATTTAACTTGTGATACTTCCAAGATCTACAAAAATACCTAAGAATTGGATGCATTATTTTTAGATAGAATATTTCAATTGTAAATTGTATCCAGCCTAAAGTTAGATTTGGCTATGTATGTGTAAAACTGTATGTCAGTGGCGTAGCCAAGATTTTTTTCGGGGGGGGGGGGGCTGATCAATTTTTTACACAGCGGTGGTTTATAGTTTTTGATCGAATACCATAGACCATTCAAATAATTTTTAAATTTTATTAACATTTCGGGGGGGGCTGCAGCCCCCTCAGCCTCCCCCTGGTTACGCCACTGCTGTATGTACATAACTACCTTCTATTTAAAAACTTGTTAGTTAGGTAATTACACTAATTGCGCAATATACAATAGGTATAAAATATACAATACACAATAAGTATACCATATTATTTAAAAATACGTACAACTTATAATGTTTTTATAGGTATTTGCCTCACAATTATAAGCTTTCACTAACCATTTAAACAAATGCAAAAAAACTAGGTTGACTTACCTAATATTTTTTGAAAAGTGTCGGTAATTGAGTGGTGTATAAATGGGACTTGTGTTGTCATCTGCAAAGTAACTTAATACATTATTCTTAAAAATAAAAATAGTTTGTACTTTGTACATAGTTGTAGTTGCAGGCTCAAATAGGACAATTTTCTGGGCTTGGGGGATTACTATTAAACTGCAGTGGCCTTATGAATCACCATGAAAATTTCATATGGGTGTTTTACTAACAAATTGTATTCCTTTCAAACTATGTTATATTTCTAAATTCCAATACGTCGTAATTTCTTTAATAATTTGACATCAACTCTTTCAATACTGAGGATAGCCATTAGCCACATTTAAGAAACTACAGTTTTCCAATCTGCAGTTTACTAGTTCTCATAGGCTCTTAGCCAATTCTTTGCTTCTTCAAAGAAAATAGTTAGCTATTTCACGTATCTCATCGCAGTTAAAATTTTGAAAATAGTTTCACATTAATTTTCTAAATACAACCGGAAAATAACGATTCTCTGATATAGTAACATCTAGTGGCGTACACAGATATTACAAATTGAAGAGGTTACATAAAAAAATGATTTAATATTATATAGGTAATTATTAATATTTTTTAAATTGCATTTAAAAAAAACCAAATGGGGGCTTAAACACCCACCCAACGAGTGTGTACGCCACTGGTTACATAATTTTAGCAATGCACTTATGCCAATGGATATAATGAACATAATATTTGTAAATTAGGACACACGCAGTAACTACAACTACCATTGAGACCATTTTGAATGATACAATGATAGCTGACGAAGTCGGCGTAAGTCCCACAGAAGAAGTCGTCGGCAATTCCCAAAAACCGGCCAACAAGAAGTATAGTTCCACTGAGCCAATTCCGACGAAGAACTATACTCAGACCAAAATTAGGAAACCACCTACGAGGTATATACTTGCAGTATATAGTATATTATCGACCCCCTATAATAATACAATAAATTGTTACTTATTAGTTAATACAAGTAAAAAATCCAAATTTTTAATATAGTATAAGCCTTTACTCTTATAGGTAGGTACATATATATTTATGCCAATGGTTTATACAGCTATACATAATACATGTGATAATATTTGTGTATTAGGGCGCAACTGCCAAGTACAACTCTCATTGCGATTTTGAAAAACGGATCGACAACGACTCCGGGCACGCCAGCTGTTACAGATCTGACTTTCAAACCCCCGGAGGACGTCATCGGCAATCCACCAAGTCAACCAAAACCGAAAAACGGTTATGGTCCGTCACACAAGAAGTACAGCTCCACTGAGCCTATACCGGCAAATGAACACACTCAGTCAACGCCTAAGAAACAAGTTATTACGGTTGTTACGATGAGAAGTAAAAATAAATATCCCTTACTCGGCCCCATCTCGTCAATTTTGGCCAATAAGGAAAAACCTACGAGGTATATCATCGACCATCTATAATAATATTGCTTTAACTTATTGGTTATTAGGTTACAAATTAATAATTATTACAAACCACTTTACATATTTTACTTTTAAACGTTATATGTGTACCAATGAATGTATTGCAGTATATTGATTTCACATTGATCTGAGTTTATATTTTATTTATTTTTTGGGCCTGAAGATAGAATTTTCAACGAATGTATATAATTATTGTAAATATTTACTATTATATTTATAATATAATAAATGCACTGTTTTCGACAATAACTAGATCAATCTATATAGACACGGCTACACTAGTGTTAAAATAAATTACTTTTTTTTCTAAAAAAAGCTTTAAGTTTAAAATTATTACAGTCAACAATTATGATAGATTAAATTATAAATTGGCAACTACATTATATAGCATGCTAGGTTGTATAGTACTATAGTGTATGTGTATACATTATACAAACTGTGGGATATAAATTTTAGTAATACTGTAAACGTTTATATGTTACAGGTATACGACTACGGAATGGATTAAACCTACCAATAAGAATTGCAACTGTGTCTTTGGCAAAAATTATTTAAAACAGTGAGTTTCATTGTTGAGTACCTGCCTATTGGCATTAGTTAAATACCTTATAGTTATTTGTAATACCGTAATGCGCACGATATAATATGTAAACAAAACACGCACGGAGGGGTCCGCTGACTAAAGTCAGGTTCACACTTCACAGTTACGTCGTGTTGAGTCGTTCAAATCGCATCTGATAGGGCGTTATATTTTTGGTATCATGTAATAACCAAGTTGCAACCGAGTATAGCAGAAATTGACATTAGCCCTAATTTTTAACCAATATAGTTACCAGTTGTAACCATAGTTACCACGCCCATGCACTAAACGACATACGACGTAGCTGTGAATTCGCCTTTAAAGGAGGATTATATGCTTTTGAAGCTCCACTATACACATGACGCGCCGTGTACACGAACAATTTTCAGCTATATCCAACCATACAGTAACGTGGTTAATCGTGTGGTACTCTAACCTAACCAACCAATCACAGCAAAGGATCATAGTGAACGTGTACAGTAGAAACCCGCCCAAAAGTACAATCATTACAAAAAAACCACGGTAGACAGTATAGGCGTTAATAAAAAAAAACTCTCCTCTGGATCACTCTGGCTCACCTAACCTTTTGCACGTGACATATATTTTCTGAAATTCCTTTTAGACTGTGAGCACTCCAATGTAGTATATTATAGGTATACTTGCTATAGTTGTTTTGTGTCGGTAGATGGCAGCCAAATTTTTCTCGGTGCTGATCATGTTCACTATTATTATTATTATTATTATTATTATTATTATTGCTATTATTGTTTATAGACTATAGCGACATTAAAAATCTCAGCTGGTGTATCTACTGCCTCTCAAACCTGAAGTGAATGCCACTCGCATAGAGTCCTTTTTTCTGTTTTTATACTAACTATATATTTATGTATTATATTATTCTTACATAATATTTATTAATATTATATGTGTATATTATAATAAAGCTGCAACCACAGCAAAGAGGAAATCACCACGGCCAAAATGTTGAGCCAAAAAGAAGTTTACTATCGACGGGAACAACAACGACTCATGAGGGAAACGACGACGATCAATATTAAGAGACAATTAGAAGAATCCCAAAAATGGGAACTACAACGGAAAGTATTGGAAATGGAAACCATTAGATTTAACACCATTTTGGATATATTGAATACCTAGTCGCAAGTAGGAGAGATGGTCTTCCAGGTCCGAGTAGGAGTTGCACACTATAAATACAGACATAAGTACCTACAGCAAATATAAGTTTTACCTTTTCGTTATATAGTAATGTATTATGATAGACACAGCCCTTAACAATATTGAATAAAAAAACACAGCAAACGTATCCTGTACGATGCTGTATACCTTTACTATATAGTATATTTTATTATAACGTCCTATCTCCTATACCGGCTATACCTATTATTATATTGGCACAGGCGAGGCAAACCGATCACTGCAGGCTCGACCTGAATTTTTGTAGGGTCATGGTAAAATGTGAATATATATTTTATTATAATGAATTAATGAATATATTATATTATGTACGTGGAGATCATGGAAACTAAATCAAAAATATTTGTGCGTACCACTACATAAATGTAAAATCATAATCTGACAAAAACGCTGTACCTACCTATACCTATACAAATATAATAATTACTTATATAAACATTATAATAGGTAAATGTGACACAATGTGTTCAATTTATTTAATATTAAGATAAGCGGACCCATAACAGCTCGCGGATGCGCAGCTCCACAGACAAATCCATTCTTAAAAAGTTAATATACCATATACCTAATTAGCTGAATTACCCGGCTTCGCCCGTGTGTAGTTTTTGCTTTGTCAAAATTAAATTCTTAAATCAACACACATTGTTGTGTTTTAAAGAAGAAAAAATTGTATTTTACTTAATGCTATCAAGTGCTAAATAGTAGTAGCAGCTGAATTATAAATTACCCCCCCCCCCCCAAATGACGCCACTGCTCGGAACAATTCATATCTCCACGCCGATCAAGCACATAGTTAGACGGACAAAAAGTTATGGTTGTGTGTCGCTATGGAAACTTGGAAACCCACAGGTCGCCGTAAAGTAAAATATGTATATGACTATGGGCAGGCGCAGAAAACGTTTCTACCAGTAAATACGTGTGTTTGATATGCATTGTGTACCTATACATCATGCATAGGATTGAATGGTCATATTTTATTTAATATTTTGATTTTTGATGAATTACAAAAATTGGAAGTTGGAAATAGCTTTTGTCATATGCATACCTACCAGTAAATAAAGTAATATCACTAATACCTACACATTAGGTACCTCCACAGTCCACAGATATTATATTATACGCATTATGGTTTTCATAATATATTTAAACTTTTATGAGTCGACTGTTGGAGTGTTTGTAAATTTAGTGGCAGTCCACTAGAAAGACGCAGAAAAAAGTAAAGGTGCCTAAGTAGTAAGTACAGCCTAACACCGGCAGCCATACGCCGAACGGTACTCCTCTATAGGTTATTTTATATTTATATTTGTTGTATCTACATTCTCTATTGAGAAACAATTGTTTTATTAGACATATTATATTATTATGTTTTATTTTTTTTAATCATTGATGATTATACATTTATTTATCATAATAATTATATCATCTACTCATTTCTATTGTATATTTTATAATAATAATAATAATTAATGAGGTAGGTATATTATTTATTTAAAAATATTATGCCGCTTATCGACGATATGGTTCAGGCTTCAGGAGGTACCTACTTATCATTAGTATAAAACACGACGTAGTAAACTAGTAGGTAAATGATAATTATTATTATTCAAATAATAATTCATTAATATACAGGGTGATTCATCAAGCATGCTCGTCCATCTTTTATCCTTTAAAATAAATAGTAAATACCTATGCATCTATTCAAATATCATGATGTTTGTAATTTCTAAGTAGGTATTTCTATAACTGGAGTCTGGAAGCTGCATAGTATGTTCTGATGTCCAGATGCTTCAGTCTTTGTACTATATATAAATGTTGTGGATTTATTTAAAAATAAAGATTAAGTGTAACAAAATTTTTTTAGCTAGGTAGATATTATATGATAGTAACTTTATATTAAATTTGATTTACCTAACTTTATAAAATGCTTCTCTTTCTCATACTTTGTTCCTGTAGTCGCCAATATTAATACTTTTGATAAATCTATTTCATGTTAAATTAACTTAATGGTAACGTTTTAATCACGGTTGTAGCCTGTGTAGGTTGGTAATTATAGGATTAATAATTAGGTAGGGTACATATTTTCTATATATTGTCATTCATAAATCTAAAAACGATAAAAATGTTTAAAAAAAGTTTAAAGTTTTCAAAATAATGAGAGTTAACCAAATCACCCTGTATAAAGTATATTATAGTTATATGTACTTGTACTAAAAATTATTTGAAAATATTTTGCGTAGGTAGCAATATATAATCTATCTTACGATTTGTTGTTGAAAAGGTCAATCTGCGACTGGTACAGCACAGTTAGATTCAATCCATGGCATTTAAGGGGGGGGGGGCACATTTAAAAAGTAAAGCTACATGAACTCAACACCCTCATCAATGTTTCAAATATTTTTGTATCACTTATCTTAAATAAGTACCTACCCCTACTGTACCAAAAACTACGATAGGTATCTCTATTTTATATAACTATACAAAACATACAAAACCAATATAACAGGTACCTGAATAGAAAATACAAAAAAATAAAAATGAGTGTAAACTTTTCAAGAAGTGGTTAAGTCAAGAAGACTAGGTATTGTCTACAAAAATATGTATGAAAACAGAATACAATAAATTATAAATAGTTACAATTTGTTTCAAAGATACAATCTATAAAATAATACTATATTTTATAGTTATAATATGACATATTTATTTCACTAGAGCATATTATAATTAATTATAATCTATAATGAGTAAATTATTATAAGGTCACTTGTAAGTTATGCTAAAGTTTTGTAATTTAGTATTTACCTATTTATTTCTTCATTGATCACAGTTACAGTTTTGTATTATTACTTGAATGCATTTATTAAAATTCTACACCTATAGGGACCACCACAATTTATTTTATGATTACTTAAGATTCTTTACAGTACTTCATGATTGTATTCTATTGTAAATATATATAATATAATTTGAAAAGTAGAACATTTTAATGTTGAAAATGTATTTTACCCCAAAATGAATGATAACAAAAGTTAGCACATACAAAAAAAGTATATTTTGGTTTATTTTTGAAATTTAATTACATTTTATATTTTTAGCAACATACTTGAACAAATACTATGAATGAAATTGATGCATTACATTACATAGTTTTTAATTTATTTTATCATTTTAACAACTATAAAAAAGTTTTTATTTTTATTTTAATATTCTTATACAGTCTGTACCCTTAAGACACAATAAGAATATGTAATATGACAATTTGTAGTATTTGTACATGAAAGCGTGAAGGAAAAAGCCATCCGGTAAAACTACTACCTATTTGTTTAATAATTTTTTTTTTTTAAGTTTAATTCATTCATTTAGTAAATCTCGATACCAAATTCTTTTCAGTCATCGTGAGGGATTGCTTGGAATTGTGTGAGAAGCTAAATTGGATATTAGGGGATTAGGATGATATGGAAGTCTGTTATAGAATATTTGGTAAAATTTTACTGCTTCGGTGTGAACTGTTGTAATATTTAAATGCATATGCAGAGTGTAGTTGGAGACTTATGGTGGGGCGTTAGTCATTTATCTTAAAATTTTATTTTGAACAGTTTGGATTTTATATTCATTGGTTTTTTTTTGCACTGCTTCATAACTGTAAGCCATAAGGACTTGATTAATGATTTGTATATGAGAATTTTGGTGTTTAGTTTAGTGCGGTTATTAGTGTTTTGATTGAGTGTAGTTGTTCATTTAGGGCTAGTTTAATTTGCTATGATATGGAGTCCTCGGGTAAGGGAACGGTCAAAGGTTAGGCCTAAGTACTTAACTGATTGGGAAGAGGGGATTGAACTTATTGATTATTTGTAGTGAAATTTGAAAGTATTTTTTCAATATAACTGCTGTAAATGGTAAGGGGTATAGTATGTATGAGGTAACTGTAAGGTTAATTTACCAATGAAGCTATATATATATATATATGAATTGTTATTATTTTTATTTTTACTATGATTTATGTCTAATTTTTACTAAAAATGTTAACCAAAATAGAAGCATAATCATATGCAACAGTTGGTTTGGATGATCATTTTTGATATTGCAATGAGATTTTAACAGTATGTTTCTTTAAAATTAATTAATTATTTGTTTTTAATACAGTACAAACAAATTTTCATACATAATTTTCTTCAGTTATATATTTTTTCAAAATGAATAACATATTACCTAATGATAATATACCACACACAACAGATCAAAAAAACAATATTTGAAAATTTAAATTGTCACAATGATTTTCTAGAAATGTACACATTATACACTCATCTATTCTTGAGTGAGAATTATAAGTTTATATAATTCTGAGAACATATATTATGGGGATTTGTATTTCAACAATAAGTTAAAGTTCATTTGAGTAGAGGACGGAGTGCATGTATAATTAAAAAAATAACTTTGAAGGAATTGCTTTCAAAACAAAAATTACTATTTATATTTTGTTTCGACTCATTATTGATGTTGTACGACTAAGAAAATTAATACCGTATATTCATATAGTTGAAATAATGACCTCCAAATACATATAGAATTTAACTGTTTAAATATCACTAAAATAATAGATAAATGATAATCTGTTTTAAATATATTAACATCATGTAAAAATAATAAATTGCAAGTTTTGTTCTAATAATTGTTTATGTATTCATAAACTAGTAATAAAAATAATTAAGTGCATGTATTATAATTTAGTATAAAAAGATAAGTAGTATGATTTAGTTTAAGTGATAAGCACAAAATAAATAAAATGAATGTCTATGTTTTATTACATTCAAAACATTAATATTATCTGTACCAAAATTAATTATGAAAACATTATAATTATTAATTAATGAACAAATAGATGATTGTATAGAAAAAATATAAAATGGTTGAGATTGCAAATTTAATACTAATGTTATAGGAACTCAGTTCTCAGTTTTTTTATGCGATTAAACAACTCATCGTCTGATGAAGTACACTCTTGTGCACAGCGTTTGCATTCCTTTAGAAATTTTTCTTTATCAGCTTCGTTGATTTCCTGAAAAATGATAAAATTCGTGAGTACTTATTTTAATATAAATATCATTTTTAACTACTTTTTGATTGTCTTCCATTAT